AAAATAGAACTAAACGGAGGTTCGCTGCGATTGAAAATGAATGAGGGCGAGCGCGATAGTGGAAATTAGCATTGAGGTAGGATCCAGGAGCGGCTTTTGTGCGATCATATCGAGGTGTATTCTTTGCGCTTTTACGGCGGCGACGAGCCGGGCGCTTCTTTTCAGTCCCCATTACGATCCTCTCGCGTTTTTGTTGCAAATAATTAATGTCACCTTTCAAAATCAAAAATAAATATTCTTACACTTCGAATTTCAAATATGTTCGCTGTTGGAGTTGTCTTTATATATGTATATGTAGACTTGTTCAGTGTTAGTACTGCCGCACCTGATAAAACAATTCAGTGGAATAAAGTCTCCAGTACATTGCAGTGTTTATAGTACATGTAGGAAATGCACTATTACAATGGCTTTATCAATACAATATTCAGAGAGTGGTAGTGTAACTTGTCGTTTAATTCATGGTATTGTTAAGCAGAGATGAGATCGGGTGTGACGTTAGCGCGGTCAGTTCGACCCATAAATTAGCGATTACGTATACATTCAATAATGGTAACAATGGGATTGAATGCAGATGAGCACACCGAGCGAGCTCCGGTACGCACTGAACCAATCGACATTTGTATGCGATATCTAAGCACACAATTGGATGCCGGCGCGACTCTTCGCGCTAATGGTACACTATCGAACGATCGCGCTCCAAGCTTTGAGAAGTGGGGACCGCCGCAAAATACGGACCACACTCTTATTCACTGAACGAAATAAATAAACTTAAGCTTAATAAGCCTTTAATAAAACAAAACCAAACAGGACGGCACGTAGCCCGAGAGCAGGATTAAATTTTTACTTCAGTCAAAAACGATTATCGCTAAATGCGCAGATTTCAATAAAATATCAGGTTACTCACTAAAAACAGTAATCAGGGTAGTATTCAAACAAACTTTAATGTCTGTCCGAAATGTAATCATGCGATTTTTAGTCTGTTTTAAATGCTAATAAAACTGCAGTAATTAACGTAAGTATGTATAAAAACTTAAAATGTACAAATTTGCACGTAAAGGCGACCATATCTTTTTATTATGTCGTTTGTAAGATTCTGACTGCGAAATTGATCGTGTCATAATTTTATAATATTGATATGTTGTGTACGTGCCTTAAAATATATATTATCTTTTATTGGAATATTAATTTAATTGGAACTGATGTAAAAATGTAGAAGCATAAAATGGTTGTAGTAGACTGCCGGCCCATAAGTGTCGAATATTCCGAATTCCGACTTAATTTGATATTAGTTGTATTGGCTTTCAAAGTTTGAGTGCATATTATGTTTCCAATGTCTAGGTGGAAAAGCAGTTGAGCCTCATATAATAAGATGTGGCAATGCTTTCTTCAATGTTTACCACAAAAATGCATTCATTAAAGTTTTTTCTTGAGGTTTTAATAAACGCAGATACGAGCTTCAAACCGCACTTTCATAATGTCAGGCTTTAAATTTGGCAATAAATTGATTCGGGTCTCTATTAACCAGTGTCAATGAATTTGACAGCAAACGATCGAGTTAATCGAAATGCGTTTGAGTGAAACAAATGGTAAATGTTGTCTAAACGTCTGTGATAATATACTAAGTTGGTCCTGATTATGCCAAATAAGCAGCAATAATAATAACGAGAGCACAGAGACAGAACACATTTATAACATCATAGAACAAAACAAGGAAAATGTGTAGTCAACAAACTATATAGTAAAAACTATAAAAAATAATGTGATATTCCAAACAGAGACCTACTTTTTATAGAATACTAGCTGACCTGGCAGACTTCGTAGTACCTCAATCGACAAATAAAAGACTCAAACTTTTGTATAAAAAAGCTTAAAACAAACAAAAGGAATCCGTCCGACGGGGGACACATCAAAGGAAAAACAAAATTGTTATTTTTAATTATTAATTCCGAGCATTTTCATATTTATCTACCTTTTAAACCTTCTTTGGACTTCCACAAATAATTCAAGACCAAAATTAGCCAAATCGGTTCAGCCGTTCTCGAGTTTTAGCGAGACTAACGAACAGCAATTGATTTTTATATATAGAGATAATAGAAAAAACATTTTCGAAGAAAGGACAATAATATACCTAAACATAAATGGAAATCTAAGATTTCAATTTACTTAGTTCAATAAATCCGGCAGTTTTATGCGAAGTCATTTTATGAAGTTAGTGTCACATGAGACAGTAGCAGCAAGTATTTGGGATAATTTAAAAATTAATGTGTGGAGTTTAAATAAATGGAAGAAGCTGAAAAAAAATCAAATAATGCATCGCTATGTTTTAGATGTATCGTGCCACGAATTTCTAGTCGCTCACGAATTTCTTACTCGTATGTCTACAAAGACCAAACTATACGAATCATAACAATTTGGGAATGTTTGAAGAATCATAGTGAGTCATCACCGTGGCTGTGACGACAACCAAGCCGCTGCCTAATGCTGAAGACTCTCAAGAAGTACACGTAATTAACGCTCATAAAGCACCAGTGTAGTTAATTCCAAAGTGGGATAGTATGTGACAAAAATATGTCTGGAAAAACTGTGGTAATTCACAGTGATTCCAGATCCATCCATCCCGAATAAACTTCGCTCGGATGGGAAAATGTATATTAAATCCATGTATAATCCAAAATTAATTCCAGTATCAATGAAATATGGATAGCATTTCATGAATATTAATGAAATCAAAATAATAGACAAACATAGTTGATTCAGATTAATTGAATATAGATAAAAGTACCGGAAAAGTCAATGGAAGCCGGAACAAGCATTTATTGAGTAATTTATCCTAACTGTTAACGGAATGATTAATATCCCGGATATTTTGCGCAAGGGGGAGAATGATATGACTGTATCACGAAAGTTTGTAGGGAAATAAGTGCTTACCAAATATTTATTAAAATTGTTTAACTTGTGTATGTATATAAAGAGCATCATCAATTATATTTAAGTTTGATGAATTTTAATAATAAAAATGAATCTCTCTTGCAGTCATGATCTTCTAAATTCGTTACTACCCAGGATCCTCCTATATGTTGAAAATTGTAGTAAAGATCTTTAATGAGAGCCTTCTCAGCAGGTTTTTTAAGAAGAACTAGTCGCGTATGAGTATATTCCAAGTAGCTCGACGCAAGAGTCTTTGGTGGCAGTACGGAGTGGTCGCAAGTGATAAATAAAGCGTAATTGAGAGACGGAAACATCCAATGAGTAAATCTCGTCCGTCAATTTATTTAAATTATTTATTAGTACCCGGCTATAGACACTCGGCCGTGATCGCTTTCAAAGACCGTTCACAGAGATCAGTCCGGACGTGAATAGTGAGAGCACTACAAGCGCATGAATCGTTATATCGATCGTACCGAATTCGTTTATGATGTCTGGATTTACTACCTTTTTTCTCTATTTTACTAATGCAACATATCTCTATCACTCTTGCTTTTCTAATATCGTTAAATAATTACAAGCTTAGAAAACGAATAGTACATTCAACAAGTAAGAGGGGATCTATTCAATGAACAATAGTTTGTGGAAAAGCGGTACTCACACGGAGAGGCTAGGCTGTTTTTCAAAAAGTTCGTTCAGATATGTCCTATGGCTTGTGTTAAATAAATACAAACAAAGTACCTGCCGAAAACTGAATGGAAGTTAAGTAAGTAAGATTACTTTTATGGTGATTAGTCAAAATCTTTTAATGCTTTCTTTACCTTTACCATTTACCTTCGTTTGAGTTGATGGGAGTCATTGTCGGTCAATTTGTATATTTTTACTGACTTCACTGGGACGCTTAAAGAGATCATCACTATCAAAAACATTTTTAACTTTCATAAACATAGTTTTTATTGGAACGAAGTTTCTTATGGGACGATGCGGAGGGGTACCCTAACCGGGAAAAAACGTCCGTAACGTAAGATTTTTATTAGTAATGCACGCAGTGTACGACTTAACTTTGTAACAACGTACAAATTAGTAATGCACACAGTGTACGATTTAACTTTGTAATAACGAACAAAAAATTACATATATAATACTAATACACTAACTCTTATGCAAACAACCGTGAATGAAGTGTACCACAATGAGTTCGCACGTTACCGTATGTATGACCGTGGGTTGTTGTGAAACCTCCAGTTTTATTTTCTTTATACCTCGAAAAGAACTTAAAATTAATATTTTTATAATAAGGAACTTCGTTCCTATCCGGTGTCCCACGACACCACACATCTTTTTATTTCTTATTTAGTGTCATCTATGTCGTCATATTGCTATTACAATAGATTGTTTTTATCGATATTTTGAAACATCGATAAACTCCCAGCCACGCGTGAACGACACGAATTAGTTAATTTGTGCAGATACAACACAATGGATGAGGAAATAATACATGCGTTAGTATCTAAGTACATACAGCTACCGGGAGATTGTAATTGGCGTAATTGGACGAATCTGGACGCACTTAATAATGGACCATTGTCGTCATTCAAATGGCAATTCATCGTTTGTGAAAGATATGATTCATTACTTTTAAATTAAAAAGTATGGATCTGCTGCTTGTGTTTGATGCGATGTACGTAATAGAGAACTTGCATTATATGGAACCTCCGAGTCTACGGAAAGAGGTCTCTTCTTCTACGAGGAATGCTTTGAGCTCATGCTCTGGGCTTTTTCAATATTTTACCAAACTTTAACAAAACAGTTTATGCGTAGATTATATTTATCGCGTTTTTTTAAGCTCAGTTTTTGACAGCGTTATACTAGTCAGCATGATATATTTTGATCAAACGATCACTGGACATTGTTTGAAACATGAGGCAGACGCATGCATGCATTTATCATTGCTGATGCCCACGAGCGACTATAACCGATTAGGGCATCGATATTCAATAAGAATTTTCAATGGCAGATTAAATTAAAATGTGTAGTTTTAAGATTAGGAAAAAATTAAAGCTCAAAAAAATTACCCATTAATGTCGGTTATCGACCAGAAACGTTTCAAAACAGCTTTGGCTAGAAGATACCAGATCTGCGTCCAGACCCAAGACGACTTCTCGATGGAGGCAGAGAGAAATTGTTTCGTCTCTTCATCAGGGTGAAGCTGGACGAATTTTTGCTGCAGCTCTGGACTTAGCCGATCTCGATTCACTCGGTACCACTGTAATAAATAGTTTAACTTTATTCATGAATAATGAGAATTTAATTGTTTTAAAAATCGAATCGAGAACTGGCTTCAATTAAATTCTAAATAATGTTTCATGATGATAGGTAAGACAAATTACAAATGAGAATGGTCATTACGGCTAAGGTGCATTAAGTAAATTGACGTTTAACAAATCTCATGGCCAATCTTAACGAAAGACAGAAAAAAAATGTAATCGAGTGCAAATAAGATAGCACGAGAGGAGCTTGTAGATCGTCATCCGTTGTGTGTTTAACTCGGCCGCCGCGGCCCTAACAAAGGGCATTGCGGCCGCTGTTAATTTCACGCTGCCTCGAATTAACATTTCTTTACGCCACAGAATAATGACGAATTAAAAAAAATCCTCGCCTTTACATGTAATGACGGCGCGGCGAGAGACCGGGAGCGCGGCGACTCATCAGGCCAACTTAATTAATGCCAGATCTGTCTTTGTATTACCTTAGGACGTACAAAAACTTTGGGATGCTTCGGAGTGTGAGTTTGAACCAATCCATAGCTCGTATTCCTCAACAATAAAAAAACATTATTTTTTTATTTAGGAACGTGTTTGATTCCTTTCTTTGACTTTGCCGTATAATAAAACAAATAATTGTAATAAATATGTAGCGATAATGCATTTATTATTTTAGAACATACATTCGTTATGTAAATACTTTTATTATACATTCTTCTTGGTCCAGAGGTTTAAGGTAAAGATAAATTGGTGATGTCAAAGTTTGTAAATGTTATAAAGAGTAGTGTATAAACAACCATACGATTTCGACCCAACCCCATTGTATAATAAAATATAAAACCATCAATATCTAGAACATTTTACGACGTACCGCAAAAAAGTATCGTAAAAAATGAAGGAAAATAAATATTTAGTACCGAATACTGATAGCGAATCACGTTGGTGATTATGCAATGCGCCTTCTTTACATTTAAAATAGCCTGCATCGGAACCACGGGATTCGTCGAAGCGAATTCTCCAGACGGAATACAAATTGTGGAAAATTTTGAATTCTGAAACCATTCATGATTAAAGAATCGTCTCTGACGTCTATTTACTGTCCGTTCGTTGCTCAATATTTACGGTTCTACATAATTAAATAAAGAAAAAAAAAAAGGGCTAATGATCGTCTCATTGTGTACTATATTGTACATTAAGACTATGTGTGTATGTAGTTAAGTTCTTTCGCAAATTTTATATTATTTATCTTATGTTTCGATTAAGGATTACGGCCGGGAAGCAGTCAAGCGTTCTAGTTTGAAGGACAGATATTATTTCAATGAAATTGACACTGAAACATCATGCCTAAATTTAAGCGGTGGCATTCAAGTTGCGATGTTTTTGGGACACGTTAACATCTTAACATCACGACCCGCGAGCTTGTCACACCATTTACGACTTACGTGAACTAATAATTAATATCGTATCTAAAATAATATAAATTTAACATTTTTAAAATCGCATTAACTATTTAGATATAACAGTGTCGTTTTAGTCGTGATAATATAGTAATATTATAGACTACACATCACTTGTTGTTTTGCTATTATGTAGATAAGAAGCACTCGGCCCGATTATTTATGAGACTCATGTTTAAGATTCATTTTCTGCTCGTGTAAGTTATATTTGCATGAATAACTATGTCCCCGTTTAAAAAAATCTACCTGTTAGGGGAAGACAAATCGACAATGATTTATTCAATCGGCGACTTATCGAGGTCACGTCAATTTTTATTTATTTTACAGACTATGTAGGTTACCGTTCTTCCGTAGTTGAAATGACGCATTAGAATCGGAATTAGGATACAATTTTGTTGTGTTTCGATAAATCTTTGCCCTTTTTCAGTTCGTTCAGGTCTTCAATACGTTCATTATGTTCTGTTATCTCGTTAACGCGGGTCAGTCGGGGTGCATCTACCGAAGGAGCGAAAGGACGAAGGTTCTTTATCCTCGGGTCGTTTGCCTCGAGCTAATGAATCAAACGCCTCTGTGTAAGCATATTGTCAATATGAAGCGAAATACTTATGTTGAATACATTCAAGCTGCACAATGCCAGATTAATTCCCATTTAAATGTGCAAGATAAATGGTGCAATACCAAACGTCTTAAGACATTCACATTTACTCTGCCCCGCGGCTAGCCGTCCGCTCGGTCAATACCATGAAAAGATTTTACTATTTATATGTGTATTTTAATTTTTGTTTAATTTAATGTGGCTCAAAGAAAAGGTCGAAAGATTGTAATTTTGTTATGTACTAGCTGTACCGTCCGCTTCGCTGGGCATTTAAAATTAACATTATTATTTCTCACCCCCACAAAGATTCTCATCATTAACACCCCCACAACTGGTGCAGGGAGTCCAACACTCATACAAATATTAGCCTATCCATTAAGTACATGTATTTTCTACATGGATACCGAGTTTCAAGTTAATCGGATACATGGTTCTGTAGTTATAACGGAACATCCGTAAAAACCACTGTAGATTTATATATTAGTATAGATATAGATTATGTGAAACCAAGCACGGTATAGTAGGCGAGCTAAGTGGCGCATAGAATCCCAATGGATTTTCCAGTAAGCGGCTCGGAGGTTGTTTGCCGGGCGCTCCATTAAAATAGGATCAGCCGGGATGCAGATCGCTTGGACGTATGTACGTACCTTCTGCAGACCGAAATGCTGTACTCAGAAAAATGGATGAAACGGGAACATGAAAGTCTGAAGATTTATTTCATTGCACGATTCTATCGCATTAAGGTTTCAAAGAAATTTATTTTAAGGCATTGTTTTTAATAGACTTGATCTACAATTGCGTATATAACACGTATGACTAAAAGAGCAGTGATGCAGTATGTTTGCAGTATGCAGGACCTCTTGTGAGTCCGCACGGGTAGGTACCACCACTCCGCCTATTTCTGCCGTGAAGCAGTAATGCGTTTCGGTTTGAAGGGTGGGACAGCCGTTGTAACTATACTGAGACCTTAGAACTTATATCTCAAGGTGGGTTCAACATCTCAAGGGCTCAACATCTCAAGGCATTTACGTTTGTAGATGTCTATGGGCTCCAATAAACACTTAACACCAGGTGTGAGTTGGTCCGCTCATCTCAGAAATAAAAATATTCCTGAAGTAAGACTACAAATTTTACTAATATAATCTCAATTTTGTACAAAAGTTATTTTATGGTATCAAATAACTTTGATTAACATTTATTGACAGTTGAATAAAACAAATAATGTATTCATCATAGATACATATGTTTTGCTTCGATTGTGCCCGTGTAAGATTTATTTCTTGGCTGATTTTGAATGAATGAAGTAGGACATATTAAAGTTAAAATTGGGAGTATAAAAAAGTCATTGTGGCCTAAATGATAAGACGTCCATTCGTATGCATGCATTCGTATCTAACGATGCACCGGCGTTCGAATCCTACAGCAAGGACCAATTTTTCTAATGAAATACGTACTTAACAAATGTTTACTATTGATAACATCATACACCATACACACATAGATACCACCACCCTGCCTATTTCTGCCATGTAGCAGTAATGCGTTTCGGTATTTGGAGGTTGGGGCAGCCGCTAAATTGTAAAAACTGAGACCTTAGAACTTATGTCTCAAGGTGGGTGGCGGCATTTACGTTGTAGATGTCTATGAGTACCGGTAACCACTTAATACCAAGTGGGCCACGAGCTTGTACACCCATCTAGGCCATAAAAAAGAGTAATCTATCATGGGAGTAATCAGTTTTGTGTGTATCATTTAATGTGTTCCAAAATGACGTTAATATCATATAATCTGGCTTGGATTATGAACTTAAGCAATTTCTGTGAGATCAGGCTCTCAAGGATACGAAGGGAGAGTGACGTTTTAATTTAAAAATCACATGTATTCATTGTAAATTGAACTATAATTCACACAAAGCCCAGTCTAGCAAATATTATTCTGAAGGTAGCAGCAATTCATGATAAAGTATGGTTGAGCTCTTTGTTCTATACCATCACGAACAGCCTGGGGGCCACCGTTGCGTAATTGTTTTAAACGCGTCTTTTAATTGTTCTATCGGGACTTAAAATTTATTGGCCGACGTGACTCCAGCCGTAATGCCATTCAGATTCATTTGCACTATTATTTCCGCGTCGCCAATCCACGGGAATGTAACGTCTGCGAATTTAATCAAGGGCCATTTCGCTTCAACTATTTCCCAGGGTGCGTAATTTGCATTTAAATGTTCAGATTCGATTTTTAAAAACGTTATGTTTTCCTTTTCCATTTTGTTTATCTATTTTCTTAAGCTTAAGCAGTTCGAATCTTCAAAATAACTTTTGGTTACCACTTACACCCGCAAGATGACAACTGTATTAAGATGTGTTTTCTTTATTTCAACATTTAGGACTTTGTCGAGTTTGTTATATGAAATTCGAATGGGTTACGTAAATAGCTTTCTGTTTACAGTTTATGCCCTCTGAGTTGCTACATTTCAATCAAAATGGTGCAAAGGCAACGAAAACAATTAAGAGGACGGACGACAAGGCAACCGATTGTATAAACGTGACCGGTGATCGGTCGACCCATTGTCCGCAAAAATTAAATGCCAGCAAAAAGCAGCCACGTGTAAATGAGCGAGAATATCTTATAAGCTGATGCCTTGCGGGTAAAGACTGGAGTTCACTGTGTTATATATGTGTGTGTGTCTGTGTGTATTGTTTTTATTTTTTTTATTGTTTAAATGGGTGGACGAGCTTACAGCCCACCTGATGTTAAGTGGTTACTGGAGCCCATAGAAATCTACAACGTAAATGCGCCAACCACCTTAAGATATAAGTTCTAAGGTCTCAGTATATGTAGTTACAACGGCTGCCCCACCCTTCAAACCGAAACGCATTACTGCTTTACGGCAGAAATAGGCAGGGTGGTGGTACCTACCCGTGCGGACTCACAAGAGATCCTATCACCAGTA